GCGCAATACAGAGTAGACGAACAGTTCCAGGTATTTCAAGATTTGCAAGATTTATAAGAAAAGCGTTCGCCTTTAATAGAGAAACTTCGGGTATAGGATTGTAATGTGGTATAGTCGGCTATCTTCAATTATAGCAATATTTCAACGCCTGTTATCACCTTAACATTTGCTCACTTAACTAAAAAGAAAGTTGTAATAAAGGTAATGTGAACCAAATAAAATTTGGGATGCGGAGTGCTGGAACAAGTGCAGTATAGCTACGGAGACGTGAAAATGTTGTTGTTGTTGTTGCGGCTACAAAAACCCCGCCCAGGACTGTGGGTATCGCAGTCGTTGTCGTCAAGTTCCACTAACGGCAGCCCTAGGAAGCGTGCAGCTTCTGTGGGGTTGGTCCACAGGGATAAGGCCGTTAGGGTTGTCGGGTTTTCCGGGCATGCGAAGAGATGTTTCGAGTCATGTGGGGTCTCTCCACATGCCGGACACTCATTTGGCACATCCTCATTCAATCCACTCAGGTAGGAGTTTAACCTGCTGCAGTTGTTGCTGCTGAAAATGTTGTTGTTGTTGTTGTTGGTGTTGTAACAGCATACAACTTCCCCAAAGAGTTTTTGGGGAGTGTAGCTGGAGTTACAGTCCTTGGCCAGATATAAATCTGCGTCGTTCCGGTTACGTAGACCCGACTGTCGTGGGAACAACGTGAAAATGTTCCTAAAAACCGGTTCAAATATAAAAACCCAAAAGCGTTTGCTTTCCATTACATCAGTTTTTGGGTGTTTTCGCATAACGTCACTAGTTTTGTCATTGTTTTTTCTGGGATGTTGAGAAACGTATATATATATATATATTTTAGGGACTTTATTATGTGTAATGTAACATTGTTATAAGTTACTTTGGTAAAAGTGCACTTTAGCGGAACCAGGCGTCCAACTCCTTTTGCGTAGGCGGCCTTCGGCCGCACTTAGGGATTATAACCCTCAGGCAGTAGAATTCTCCTTTCTGTGTTGCCAAAGAAGGGGGGCTGAACACCTTTTGCAGAGAACAACTTTAATTTACTCCATTTATTTACATCAAATTCATCAAAACATGGTACGAAAAGTGCAAAGTGCCAGTTTTTTTTTGCGAATAACTCTCAAATTAATTAAAAATCTTAATTCACCCCCCTCTCCCCCCCGGATTGTTATTGTTCGCGTTAAAACGCGTCGATTGATACCACTCTTGATTGGTTCCGTCCATTTTGACCTGGTACCCGTAAAGTGCACTACTACCGTTACTTTACCATGGTAGATGTCAGCATGGGTGTTTTAACCCGCATCCATAGGAAATTTTTTGTAACACATAGTATGTTGTGCATCAATTTGTATTGTAATTGTAATTGTATTGTAATTTATTGCAGTCATATGAAACAGACGTTCCTTACAGACTAGAGATAAAAATGTAGCTACTTAGGGCCGTTTGCACCATGTCTAGTTAACGCTAACTGGAGGTACATCCTTCAGTTAAGCACGTTAACTGCTTTATCGACCACATGTTATATGATGGGTGTCGATAACGTCGATAAAGATGTTTAACTGGGAGTTAGAATTAACTAGACATGGTGCAAACGGCCCTTAGACGATACGTGTAAAACATAAAGCACTCTACAGTTTCGGGATCAACGATAAAATAAATAAACTTTTTGGAAGAGAGAAATCCAGTTTGATAGAATTCGAGATCGTGTTGAATTCGTTTAAAGCCCTTGTAATAGGAGCATTTCTGGCATACTTCGTTTTACAATTTCCACCATAAAACGGCAGAGGATTGCGAATATTCCTTAGAGGAACATTGAAGTTGACCTGCTCTAGGAGCGTAGGGCAATCGATCACACCAGTTATTAAGTTAAAAGTAAAAGTTAGAGATAGCAAAGATCTTCTGGCTTCCAGAGATTTAAGGTCTATTAATAGCAAACGAGACTTATACAATGGAATAGGCTCGCTGAAGTTAAGATTTCTGAGGGCAAATTTAAGAAAAACCTTTTGAACCCTTTCAATCCTATTAATTAGGTTTGAGTGGTATGGCCTCCAGATAAAATAAGCATATTCTAACTTAGAACGAACAAAAGATGTGTATAACAACTTAAGGGCCGGTTACTCAATGTCTGGTTAACACTAATCTCCGGTAAAACATCGTTATCGACGTTACCGACTCCATGTTATATGCCGAACACGTCGATAATGATGTTTAAACGGAGATTAGTGTTAACCAGACATTGAGTAACCGGCCCTAAGTGTATAGAGGTCAGAGAACATGTAGCTCTGACGCCTGAGAAAACCAAGTACAGCGTAAGATTTAGAAATGATGTGACTGATATGACTGTTAAAAGACCAATTAGAGCTGAAAATTACACCAAGGTCTTTGATTTCTTGAACTTTTTGAAGTTGAGTTTGAGAGATAACATAAGACGTCGAAAGAGTACTGTGACTTTTGGAAAAAGTAACTTGAAAACATTTTTTAATATTCAGAGAAAGGCGAGAGCTGAGACACCAGCTGTGTAGAATATTAATCTCGGACTGAAGTCTAAGCGCATCATGCGAATTTTCAATCACAGTAAAAATTTTTAAATCGTCAGCATTCAGCAAAAATTTAGCAAATGAAAAACAAGAACTCACATCATTTACAAATAATACAAAGAGTAAGAGACCTAAAATGCTACCTTGAAGAACCCCCGATGAGGCAATGAAAGATTCCTAAGAATAACCATTAACAGAGACCACACAGCGCCTATCCGACAAATAAGATTTGAGCCATTGCAAAAATAATGAGTGGAAACCCAGTAAGGCTAGCTTACTGACAAACAAACTGTGCGAAACTCTATCAAATGCTTTGGCAAGATCAGTGTAAATGCAGTCGACTTGGAAACCGTTCGAAATAGCTGCAATACAATACTCACTAAATACGCCTAGATTAGTAACCGTAGATCGGTTGGGGACGAAACCATGTTGATTGGGTGAGACTAGACTTTTTGTTGCGAAATACATTTTCTCCTTGACGATAACTTCAAAAAGTTTGGAAATTGTTGAAAGTTTCGAAATGGGTCTGTAATTACAGACATCACTTTTGCTGCCACTTTTAAGAATAGGGGTAATTGAAGTCAATTTCAATTCATCATAAACAATACCGGGGGCTAGAGACCTATTGAAAATAATTTTTAAAGGAGAGATCAAAGCAGGACACTTCTTTATAAAGTTTGAAGAGAGCCCATCAATATCTTGTTTTGCAGAAGCTGATAGATTTAAAATGCCATTAGCAATATCGTCAGACGAAAGTCTAAGGGAGCCAAAATTAGTAGAATTCACACTAGCAGAGAAACTAGAATCCACAGTAGGGCTATCATCTACAAAACTAGAACTAAAAAATGCAGCAAATAGATTTGTAACTTAAGCTGGAGTGGAGGCACACTTATCTTCAAAAAATACAGCTCAGGGAATACTAGAGTTGTTCTTCTTAGACTTAATAAAATGACAGAACGATTTCGGATCTTCTTTGATATTGGATTCAATGCCTAAGATATAATTTCTGTAGAGTAATTTATTCAAGCAGTTAAACTTCTTAAGATGGACCTGATATTTTTCAAAGAAAAACTGACTTCCAGAGGCTTTAGACTTATTATAAAATTTATTTTTAAGATTCTTGAGTTTTTTCAAGTCACGATTATACCACGGTAATTTATAGGGTCTTTTTCTAATCATTGGAATGAATTTAAATCAGAAATTACAGATTTGAAAGTAGGGAAGCATTTAGCTACATCGGGGCAAGAGAGTAAGCTTTCTCAATTTAATTCACCCAGTAATCTATTTAACTTGGGATAATCGCAGGCTGCATAATTAAACTTAGGTTTGTCACCAGCATTGAAAGGCGGGAATACGTAAAATTCAAATTTTAGTAGCAGAGGAACATGATGCATATTAGATGGAGTGATCGGATTGTGGTAAACTTCAATGTTACACTTAATGTTATCACTAATAAATATGAGGTCAAGGATTCAATTAAACTGGTTAACAAATTTAATGATTTGTTATAAATTAAGGCTTAAGAGGCTATCTATAAAGTGCACTTCATGGGACGCATTGACATTAATTGGCGAGAGACCAGCATTGGAAAAAGATGTGGACCAAGATACATTACAAAGATTGAAATCGCCTAACACACAAAGGTGGTCATCTCCTAGCTTATTTAATACTAAAGACATGTTGTCAGCATGCGCTTTATAAAGATTATAATTACTATTAGGCGGGATATAAGAAACAATCAAAAACAGAGAGTCATGGCTAGATGAGGCACTGATGCGAACACAAAGCTGATCCAAAAGGGAATCATCATTTTCAAGCGAGACAGAGAACGAATGAAATTTACGCTTGAATCGCAAAAAGAACTCTTCCGCCTCTCAGACAAGCAGTTTTAGTTGCATCTCTGTCCTTCCTAAAGACATTATAAATGTTTGAATCAAAAAATTCTTCATCAAAGAAATCCGCATTTAGCCATGACTCAACAATAACAAAAACATCGAAATCCCTTTGCGAGCTAATAGAGCGTATCGCTGCTGATTTAGTTCGAAGGCCAGAATTATTCTGAAAATAAACCTTCAAAGAGCTATAATTATATTTCTGCCTATTAACATTTAAATATGCATTACAACTAAACTTATTAATATCCAATACTACGGGATCTGGCGCATCCGAGGACAAATGAACTAATTCGGATGAGTTTGTTTTGACCTTCTGTGAAAAAAACGGAACGCGCGAACAGAAACAGCTGGCCACAACTCTGGTCTTATTAGATTTTCGCAATCGAACTCGCTGACGTCAAGCTTAAAATTGACATAGGATAAGAAATCCAGTCTCGACTCTTTTTTGACTAACTTGTAGTAGGTTAAGTGCCGCTTATCAATGCCAGCGTGTCTCACCACATAATCAACAATATTGTCACAGGAGACGGTTGGCACGAAAGCTGAAAGGTGCAACCACTTAAAGCGGCAGCCACGCCAAGATCACTAC